GGCTCCTGGTGTAAACAGAACCTGGTGGCAGAATCAGTAAGTGTCAACAAGCACCTCAGCAGTAAGAGGTGAGGGCCACAAAATATTCAGAGCCATGCCCGCAACCGCACATGCTTGTACACTGTGGTACTGGACTAGAGTCTTCTTGTCCGTGGTCATATTCCAGGGTTAGCGGATCAGAGGCAGGTAATCTCACATGTGGATCCCAGGGTGGCTGCTGCACCAGGGCAGTTCCATTTTCTATCCTCGCCCCATGGAGTCATGGTGAGTCTCTCCTAACCGAATCACCTTGGGGAGGGACATCAGCGCAGGCTCACTGGGGACACTCTGACCAGCCCCTAGGAGTATGTAAGACATTTGGGGATGTCCCATGCAGACTAGGTTCAGGCCGACAACGGGATCTAATTCTGGTTCCATCTCAGAGGAGAGGGACGGTTTCTTCCTCTCCTGACAGAAGAAATCTCCTTGGTTGGAACCCAGTGGGAGTTGCTCCAGTTTTCTGGTACTTGGGTAAATAACAAGGAAGAGGTCTGGAGACACAAACTAACAGACAAACCGCTTTCTTCCATTTCATACGGCCATTAGGAAAACAGATGAAGCAGTCACAGTCCCTACATCCAGGAACATTCACTCTGGAGCAAATGGAAAAATGGTTGAATTCAGCATCATGTGGTCAGTACAAAGAAGGGAGGGGTACAGGGGACGTTGGCTTCATTCGGACACTTCCCTTACATCGTTGTGAGTTCTGATGTGACCACCTGGAGGTTACTTATGGACAGAAGAGTTGTTTTTATTGTTATTTCTATTGCTTTTACCTTGCTAAGAATAAATATTTAGCTTCTAATATAATTGTCCTAAAAAAAACCCCTAAGGAATTTGATTAAATTGCTTGTTATTATATGTTATAGAATATACCAGAGAGTGGTATAAGTAGAATGAAATTATACAAACTCTAGGAGTCAAGTTTCTGTCAAGTAGCTTGAGGAAAGAGAACTGTGAATATACTCCAGGGGCATAGAGAGATGAGAAGACTGGGGCCCTCTCCCTGCCACAGCCCTGCCCAGATTCATCCTCTTCTGAGCCTGCTCCAGGTCTTGCCCCACCCTGGAATCTCCCTGCACAGAACTTATTAGAGGAGATCAGAGCATTGGCTGCTTCTCCTGCTGTCTCTCCAGAGCTGGTGCTCACAGTTTCTCCAAACATAAAAGAAGATAAATGAGAGCAAAAGACTATCGTGTTGGGGCCTTCATTTATTTCTTTTGTATTAAAGCCTGTGTTTCTGGAGATACTCCACCCAGCAATCTGTTTTCCATTCCATTTGATTTAGTATTAATAGTTGCTCTACGAGTTTCAAGAAAGTAAATATAAACACAACAATGAAAAATCCCTCTGAACTTCCCTCTACCTTTCCTTCCTGTATCCCTCCCATCTGTCTATATTTAGCTTGTATTCTGTACATCTTCTTTTAAAAATCAATAATGGATAAACAAAAGAAGAAATAGGGTGGGCCCTTAATCTAAATCCTGGGAATTATGGGACATTTAGTATCCACCTCCCAGGGCGTTATGAGGATGAATTCGCAAACCGAGTTTTCCATGCACATAACATACTTGTGAGCACGGTACATGCTCAGGCATGTGTACGTGTTGTTTTCCAAATGCAGAATAACTCAGACACTTCTTGCTGCCTTCTCCAGTTTCTGTAAACTTTAAAGGGAGTGCCATGTTTCAGGATGGTGATTGGTGGTCTTTATTTTGGACCAAAAGTATTTTTGCCATAAGAGTGCTGGGTGTACGGCGCTCTGTGTGCTGTGCCGGCTTTCTCTATCTGAGTGCTACTGATAACACGTGTAGGGGGAGCGACATCAGCACTGACAAGGGACTTTTTAAAGGAGGCAATTCATGGCCCCTTCCACACCTGCATGATCACATTACTTAGAGGGCGGCCAAGATTAGCAAATGCTTTATGTGCACATTCTAAGAGATTCTCAGTCCAGGCTTTCTGTTAGAATTACATGGCCAGTTTGAACGCTATCACCTGTCTCCATGCAGATTCTGCCTGTTGGTCTGCGGGGGAGCATCCATGTGGTTTTAAGTGCTCCAGGTGATTCTAAGTTGAGGCCAGGGTCAAGTACTAGGGCTCTGAGCTATATTCATGAGACTTGAGTTCAGATTTTGTTCCGAAGGAAGGTCACAGGGCCTTCTCTGCTTGGGTTTGTAGGTGCAGCTCAGTGTGGCCCATATTTCCATTGTTACAGTAGACTTTACTGGTGACTGTGGCAGGAGAGGGCACCTGAAGTCAGGAAAGAAGAAACACACTTTGCTCTCCATGTAGAAGTTCCTGACTCTCCTGTAATAAAGGACAAGGAAGGATACACTTTTTATGCACTTGAGGGTCCTTCTGCCTGTGGGTGTGGTGGCAGCAGGTGAAGGGGTTGTCTGATGCCTTGAAAGGCACATTGTCAAGATGCAGCTGTGATTTGTTCAGATCATCTTACCTAAGAAGGCATTTCAGAGGAGGAGGAAGAGGAAGAAGTGGCTGGTTCTCAGGTAATTATGTCCCAGGTCAGGGGCTGTGTTCACTTTTCTTATTGGAATGTCATGTGTTTAGACTCTGTAAACCTTTACTATTCTCTCCTTTGATGTTTCTGCCTATTGAGTTTCTTTCAACTATTTTTTCCTTTTTATTCTTAATGATAGTCAGGAGGCTCTGAAAAATTCTATTTTCTTATATACCAGGGCCTTCTCTCCATTCTCGCCATCCAGGCTTCCTTATGCCATGAACAATTCTCACCGTAAATTTATGACCTGCAATATTAAAAGTAATTCCCTTTGTGGCTGCTGAACATCTTGGAAGCAAAATCTTTGCAGCCCAAGATTCCCAATGGAGATGAGTTCAGGCCTTGGGATACCACCAGTGACGAAGGGGGACGTGTACTGTTCACGTTCTGTCTGGATGTTCCATTAGCTCTCTGTAGAGCCAGATTAGTGAAATAGACATTAACTGCCCAGAATAGCTCAGAAAGTTCTGAGAAAGAGAATAAGTAGAAGGGACTTGCTCTCTAGGATCCTAAAGAAAGACTATTTACACTATTAGAGGCTGGGCATGGGGGCTCGCACCTGTAATCTTAGAACTCCGGGAGGCTGAGCTGGGAGAATCACTTGAGCTCAGGAGTTCGAGACCAGCCTGAGCAAGAGTGAGACCCCGTCTCTACTAAAAACAGAAAAAAACTATCTGGATGTAGTGGTATGCACGTGTAGTCTCAGCTACTCAGGAGATGGAGGTAGCAGGATCACTGGAGCCCACGAGTTTAAGGTTGCAGTGAGCTAGGCTAATGCCGCAGCACTCTACCCTGGGTAACAGAGCACGACTCTGAATGAATGAATGAATGAATGAATGAATGAATGAATAAACTATTAGATATTACAGAACATGAGAGATAGCTGTAGCTTTAACTTTGCATAAAACTGATGTTTCTTCATGATTAGATTGAGAAATTTACTGTTTTTGCACAGCCATGATGTCTGTGTGCATTGGCATCTGAAAGTAATTTGTCCGATTAACAGCTGATGTTAATTTTATTCACTTGGTTAAGTTCTCGCTGACAGATTTTTTTTTTTCACCATAGAGTTAATTATTTTTCTTTTTATTAATAGGTCCCTATGAAGATTTACCAACTGATGTGCAGAAACCATCACATTTAATCTGGAAGCTCCTTTTTCTTTTTAGATTTCCTTTGCATATAGCTTGCTTTGGAAAATGAAGGCCATGATCTTTGTTTCCTGGTCAGATGAACTAGGATACAGCCAGGCTCTGCCACTTACTGGATGTTTGAAAAACATTCCCCTTGAGCCAGAAGCATTGACATAACTGGTGAGCTTGTTAGAAATTCAGAAATTCAGGCTTCACCCCAGATCTCCTGAATCAAAATCTGCATTTTAACAAGGTCTCCAGTTTATTGTTGTACACATTAAAGTTTGAGAGATACCTTTTAACTCAGCATGACTTTTCCATCTGAAATATATATACAACTTATCCTGTATGATGTAAATATAGCACTCGAAAATGTAGATGCTGTGTTGGCAACCTGAATTTTATACTGTATCATCCAGAAAGCTATAGTATCTACACCAGTTTTATGGATCTTATGTCATTTTCTCTCCTCAAAGTTAGAGAATACATTACAGAATATTTCTGTGTTAAAAATTGTCTTTTTGAATAAATCCAGTCACTCATGAGCAAGAACCAATATTCTTCCTTCTCCCATTTCACCTGGAGTCACATTAAGAACTCTTCCCACGGCCACGTTGTAAATATGTGTTTTTCTTTCAGGAACTGTTGACATTCAGGGATGTGACCATAGAATTTTCTCCAGAGGAGTGGGCTTGCCTGGACCCTGCTCAGTGGAATTTGTATAGGGATGTGATGTTGGAGAACTACAGAAACCTGTTCTCCCTGGGTGAGGATAGCTTCAATACATAATTTCTATTCCACACTAAGGATTTCATATCCTTCCTTTGTTGAATGATTCTGGGAGTTTCTGCTTTGTATGAATGGGTTTCAGATTACTGTTTCCAAGGAAAATTGGTGGATTTGTTGGTATAGAAAAAAAAATTTCAACTTTCTTTATCTTGACATTAATCTTACTCTTTTTTGAGCTGAGCTGATTTGTATCTTTCACTCTAGATTAGTGGTAATCCCAGAAATTTAATGGTATAAAATATTGCTGTCCACAACTTAAAATCTAATTTCCACCATCAATTTCTGATTGACTAGTACTGGGTAATGGAGCCAAGGATGCACAAGTTTCAAGTACTTTCTAAATATTCTAAAGTTTATCAGGATATGGTACTTTGGGATTAATTTTCTAAAATATTCTATAATATTCACTCTTCTCTACTGAGCACAGTATTAGGTTGGTAATTGCAGAATTCTAGCAAGAGTCATGTTACTTTCTTTTAATAAAACAGGTCTCGCAGCCTCTAAGCCAGACCTGATCACCTGTCTGGAGCAAAGGAAAGAGCCCTGGAAGGTGAAGAGACGTGAGACAGTAGCCGAACACCCAGGTAGGTGGGAGTGAATGAAGCAGATGACACAGGTGAGAGGTCCAAAGGTCAAAGAGGAAGCCAGACCTTACTGTGTGGTTTGGGAAGTTCTGCTCCAATAGAAATGGCTTCTGAGCAGCCTGGGTTTGTTTCTCACGTATGGGCATCTCTGTTCCTTGTTCTTAAGTTATCTAAGGACTTGACTTCCCCTTCAGTGACCTTCCTTTGAGGTTGCAGTGAAAACCCAAGTCCTGTTCATGGCTTATCAGGGACTGCAGGATCTGACTGCTCTTCCATTGCTTTTCAGGACGTGGGAATATCTGTGTATTTTGAGGAACTCTGTTAAACCATTTTGTAATTTCCCTTTTTGCATCATACCTGAAATATGTGAGTGCAGTGGTGATATCTGCATTAGGTTCAGAGATCCCAGGAGCACCACAGGCAGATGCTGTATGTTTTCTGCTCTATGGTTTCCTATCCTGTGGAAGTATTAAATATGATTCTACAGAAATTCATGCTCAGTAACATTATCGAACATTAAGTATCTCCCTACATACAATAAAATATGTTATTTTACTTCAAAATTCTGTTTTTAGTGTGTGAATTCTGACTAATATTTTAAACTATACTCCCAAATTCCTCAACTTTAATATAGTTTAATATGTCTACTCCCTAAATTTCTTAAATATATTATGTCTTTGGGCAGATTGGAACACTGTTGAGCATATATTAATCACCAATTTTTACTTTATTTTTTAATAACTATTATTTTGTTACTTTCTCTTGTTTTTTATGAAGCTTACTGGGACTGCATCAATCATACATATGTATGTGTGGGTGACGTGGATTTTCTTCACGTCTATACAAGCAGTTGTATAACTATATAATTATGTGCAATGCAATGATTCAGTATGTGTATACATTGTGAAATGACTGGTATTACCAAGTTAATGAACATATTTATCACTTTACAGTTACTATTTTTTTGGTCATGAGAACACTTAAGGTCTACTCTCAGCAAACTTTAAGAAGCAAAACATCAGTATTAGCCGCAGTCACAATGCTACACATTAGGTCCACACAACTTATTCATCTTATAACTGAAAATTTGTACCCTTTGAACATCTCCCTATTTTTCCCCACCTCAGGCCCTGGCAGCCACTTTTGTACTTTCTGATTCTGTGAGTACAACCTTTTTAGTTTTCCCCTGTAAGTGAGGCCATGCAGTAGTGTCTTTCTGTGCCCGGCTTACTTCAGGTAGCCTAATGTCCTCCAGCTCCCTCTCTGTTGTTGAAATGGTTGAATATTTTTTATAGCTGGGTAATATTCTATTGTGTATATATACCATATTTTCTTTGTCCATTCAGCATTCACAGACATTTAGGTTGTTTAAATATCTTAGCAATTGTGAATAATGCTGCAGTGAACATGGGAGTACATATATTTCTTTGAGATAACTGATTTTATTTCCTTTGGTTATATACACACTAGTAGGATTGCTGAATTGTATGGTAGTCTATTTTTTTTTTTTTTTCAAAGAACTTTCATACTAGCCCAGGCTAGAGTGCCATGGCATCAGCCTAGCTCACAGCAACCTCAGCCACCTGAGTAGCTGGGACTACAGGCGTGTGCCACCATACTTGGCAAATTTTTTCTGTATTTAGAAGAGATGAGGGTCTCACTCTTGCTCAGGCTGGCCTCGAAGTCCTGACCTCAAGCAATCTGCCTCAGCCTCCCAGAGTGCTAGGATTACAGGTCTGAGCCACCACACTTGGCCCTAACAGGTGTTATATCCAGGGGAATGTTTTATGAGCTATTGAGATTGTGTGTTCTGCTGTCATTGTGTGGAGTGTTCTCTATATGTCTGGTAGGAATAATTGTCTTATACTACTTTCATGTTGTCTATTCCCTTATTTATATTGTGTCTTGCATTATTATTCATTACTGGAAGTGAGATATTGAAATATCCTACAATTATTATATTGTTGCATATTTCTTCCTTCAATTCTGTCAGCATTTGCTTCATATTTTTGGCAACTTACACAAACACACATGCACATATATATAATATAAAAATAAATCATACATTTCCAGTGAATGAACCATTTTTATTTAATTTTTTTTATTTTTGAGACAGGGTTTCCCTCTGTCACCTGACTAGAGTGCAGTGGCATCATCATAGCTCAAGTGGTCCTCTGGCCTTAGCCTCCCAAGTAGCTAGGACTACTAGGCACGCACCACCACTCCTGGCTAATTTTTCTATTTTCTGTAGCAAGGAGGTCTTGCTCTTGCTCAGAATGGTCTCAAACACCAGACCCCAAGTGATCTGCCCACCTCGGCCTTCCAAAGTGCTATGATACAGGCATGAACCAGTGTGCCTGGCCTAATATTTCTCTTTGTCTTTTGTGAAAGTTTTTTTTTTTTTTTTTTTTGAGACAGAGTCTCACTCTTTTGCCCTGGCTAGAGTGAGTGCCATGGCGTCAGCCTAGCTCACAGCAACCTCACACTCCTGGGCTCAAGCAATCCTTCTACCTCAGCCTCCCAAGTAGCTGGGACTACAGGCATGCACCACCATGCCCGGCTAATTTTTTCTATATATTTTTAGTTGTCCGATTAATTTCTTTCTATTTTTAGTAGAGACAGGGTCTCGCTCTTGCTCAGGCTGGTTTTGAACTCCTGAGCTCAAACAATCCGCCCACCTCGGCCTCCCAGAGTGCTAGGATTACAGACGTGAGCCACCGCGCCCGGCCTTTTGTGAAAGTTTTGACTTAAAGTATATTTTATGAAATCGGACAGGATTTGCCTCAAAATATATTGTGCCTAATTGTGACCTACTGTCATTTGATTAACATTTGCATGGGATGACTAGTGGTGATAAACTTTTTCAGCATCTAGTTATCTTGATAAGTCTTTATCTTTTTCTTCATTTATTACAGAAGGGAAGTTTTGCTGGGTATAGTATTTCTGCTTTTAAGTTTCTGTTCTTTCAGCACTTTGACTATATTACCCAATTCTTTCCTCACATGCAAGGTTTCTGTTGATAAATCCACTAGTAATTTCATAGGAGCATGCTTGTAGATGGCATGTAACTTTTCTCTTGCTTTCAAGATTCTTGTGTGTGGACTTTCAAAACTTTGCTTATAATCTGTCTTGTTATAAGTCTCTTTGTATTTATCATAGCTGAAGCATGTTGAGCTGCTTGATTTTTTATGTCTTTATTTTTATTTTTCAAAACATTTGAGAGTTTATCAGTCATTTCTTATTCTTCAGCTCCACAATTCCTTTTTTATGCTTTTATTTTTTGCTCACATCCCATTTTTCTGGTTTTATTTAGTAGTCTGTATTCCCGTTTCACTCACTGAGCATCCTTAAGATGGGTATTTTCAATATTGTGGGTTTATTATGCATTTCTATTGCTTTGTGGTTGATTTCTGATTATTAATTTCATTTGATTGGGCTATGTTACTCTGGTGTTTTGTGTATGTTGTAATCTTTGGTTGAGATTTAATAATTTTAAAAAAGCCACCTTTCACAAACTTTATAAAGTGTCTTTTTCCTGGGGGAGTTGGACACCAATTGACTGTACTAGAGATTTGAGGAATCTCACATCTGTTCTTAGGATATTTCTTCTGTGGAATTATGTTTATTTTCCAGTTAAAGCAATTTCCCCACATTTCTTTTTATGAGCCTGTCGTCACTTGCTGCACCTGTTCTCTGTCTATGGTACTCAAGTCTCTGCTGCTGTCACAGTATTTTACCTTTGGTTTTAGCACACCCAGTCTGTCTTTCAAACCATAGCACCATCCCTTTCTGCACTCTGTTATGGGAGACAGAAACACGTCTTTGGAAAGGCCCCCAAAAGCTGGAAGGATTGACAGCGGGAAGGATTTTCTTTTTCTTTGAGAGAGAAGCTGGGAGTTAGGAGTCTACTTCTATGTATTGGGAAAGAGGAGAGGCGGGTGGGTAAATATAACAAACTTTTCTTCCCCTCTTGTGTGGCTCTTGGCATTGTGCTCACCTGGTGTGCTGCAAACTCTTACCTAATTTTTAGAATTCCCACAAAGGCAATTTGGTCAGTTAGTTGTATTACATTTTACATATCTAAAAGAGAATTCGAGCATGTGTATTGCATTAATATTATGCCATCTTGGTAATGTGCTTGGCATAATTTTACATATTAAATTTGTAATATATATTTGTTTCTGAAAAATAACTGGGATAATTTATTATTTTCTAAATTTCTTTCAGCTGTGTCTTCTCATTCCACCCAAGACTGTTTGCCAGAGCAGCACATAAATGTTTTATTCCAAAAAGTGATACTGAGGCGATATGGAAGCAGTGGCCTTGAGAATTTAAACTTAACAAAAGACTGGGCAAGTGTGGGTGAGTGTCAGGAGCAGAAAGGATGTTATAATGGACTTAAGCAATGTTCAAAAACTACTCAGAGCAAAATCTTCCAATGTAATAAATGTTTGAAAGTCTTCAGAAAATTGTCAAATCTAAATAGACATAAGATGAGACATACTGTAGAGAAATCTTTTAAATGTAAAGAACGTGGGAAAGCTTTTAAACAATGCTCACATATTACTGAACATAAGAGAATTTATAATGGAAAGAAATGTTACAAATGTGAAGAATGTGGCAAAGTCTTCAATCAGTGCTCATACCTTACGAAACATAAGAGAATTCATACTGGAGAGAAACCCTACAAATGTGAAAAATGTGGCAAAGCCTTTAATCAGTGCTCATACCTTACGAAACACGAGAGAATTCATACCGGAGAGAAACCTTACAAATGTGAAGAATGTGGCAAAGCCTTTAATCAGTGCTCATACCTTACGAAACACGAGAGAATTCATACCGGAGAGAAACCCTACAAATGTGAAGAATGTGGCAAAGCTTTTAACCGGTGCTCACACCTTACTATACATAAGCGAATTCATACCAGAGAAAAACCCTATGAATGTGAAGAATGTGGGAAAGCCTTTAATCAATGCTCATACCTTACTAAACATAAGAGAATTCATATCGGAGAGAAACCCTACAAATGCGAAGAATGTGGGAAAGCCTTTCACTGGTACTCAGACCTTTCTGTACATAAAAGAATTCATACAGGAGAGAAACCATACAAATGTGAACAATGTGGCAAAGCCTTTAATCAGTTCTCATATCTTACTAAGCATAAGAGAATTCATACCGGAGAGAAACCCTACAAATGTGAAGAATGTGGCAAAGCCTTTCACTGGTACTCAGACCTCTCTGTACATAAAAGAATTCATACAGGAGAGAAACCTTACAAATGTGAACAATGTGGCAAAGCCTTTAATACATGCTCATACCTTACTAAACATAAAAGAATTCATACAGGAGAGAAACCCTACAAATGTGAACAGTGTGGCACAGCCTTTAACCAGTGCTCATACCTTACTGCACATAAGATAGTTCATACAGGAGATAAGCCCTACAAATGTGGAGAATGTGGCAAAGCCTTTAGCCAGTGCTCATACCTTACTGCACATAAGAGAATTCACACTGGAGAGAAACCCTACAAATGTGAAGAATGTGGCAAAGCCTTTAATTGGTGCTCAGATCTTACCATGCATAAGAGAATTCATACCAGAGAAAAATCCTAAGAAGGTAAAGAATGTGGCAAAGCCTTTAACTGGTTCTCAGATCTTACTATGCATAAGAGAATTCATATAGGAGAGAAACCCTACAAATGGAAAGCCTTTAATAAATGTTTGTTCACATATTACTCAACATCAGAGTCAGACTGGGGGTACAAGTGGTATAAATTCAACAACTGTCAAAGTACCTTTCAGAAAATAAAAGTCTTAGGCTGCACCAGAGTATTTATACTGAAAAAAACATATTACAACTATAAAGGGTGGTGAAGTACCTTTACTTATATTACAGATCTTACTGTACATAGGCGAATCTATTCTGTAGGGAAACCCTCCAGATTGCTCAAGCTTTATTTAAATTCAGAGAATTCTGATTGGAGAAAACCAAATGTAATGTATTCAGAAAAACCTCTATTCAACAATCACACCTTTGAAAACACCAGAGGTTGTATTAAAAGATATTTTACAGATGCCAGAATGTGAAGAAATTTGATAAAAAATCAAATCTAAATAAATATCAGAGTGCTTGCCAATGTGTCTGAGCAAGTGGAAAAAAATAAAAGGAAAAAGAAGTAAAAAAAGAAAAAAGTACTAAGGTGCTAATATTTTCAGACATTAAAGCAGAGTGTTGATTATAGAGAATAATCCAAAGTTAAAATAGTTAAATAATTTATGTGTATGTATGTAAGGAAGGAAGAAGAGATTGATTTCATGGAGATTTTTAACTACATTCAAAGTATACTTTTTTGCATTAAAAATTTTAGATTTTTTGGAAAATTAAATATTGATGTAATTCAACTCTCAAATTACTTGATGCTATGCCTTTATTCCTAGTATTTCTGTGAAAGCATGTAGTCAATTCTTGCTGCATCAGAACTATGAAATGTCCTTCTAAATTAGGTGGGCATCATTTATATACTCTTCCAAGGAACACTAAGGACACCGAAATGTATGATGCATTAAGAAAATCTAAGTGGAAAGGCCCTTTGTGTTTAACTTAGAGTGTCGTAAGTGATGTCAGAGGTAGTTGTTCAGAGTAATATTCTTCTCCATTATAGTTAGAAACATTTTGAATTTTAGACGTTTTATTGATTACATATTAAGGTAATAAAATACAGTGGATTTTGAAATGCTTTTTTAAAGAGTATGTGTGCACTTAATTTGTTTTAATAAAACAAAATTGTGTTCAATGTTTAAGCGTGTTATGCAGTGAATAAAGTGTTATCCTGCCACAAACATTAACCTGTCCCACTTTATTCAAGGTTGTAGGTAAAAGATGGCAATAATATACTATTGTGTAACATCGTGAAATAACATCTTTACTGACCTTTATTCCTGTAGGCTATAAACTTCAAGTAATTTGAGGAGTATCATTTCCATAGGTTATATTTTTATTTCTTATGTAGCTAAAGGGTCATCAAAAGGCATACGTGTCTGAATTCTGAATGACAATTTACAAAATTTCACCCTGCATTCTTTTTAAATGCTCATGTTTTATCTTCTGAAAAGGTCACATAAATTTTACATTCTAATCCATAATGCATTTACATTTATTTTAATATAAAGTACTTTAAATTGCTTTCTATAGAGTAAAATAAGCTCCCCAGGAATTTATGCCATACATATTCGGTAACCACATATTCCCAGGAACATAACTATTTTCTACACTAGTACTTTTAAAAGCTCTATGATTGTGGCAAAGGACTAGCATATATTCTGCTCATGATAAGAGAAATTTTTTGACCAGGAAATAAAATCTGGAAAGCATGGTGTCCTCCTAAACTCACTGCAGGTAAGACATCAACACGCTGTGGTGGTTAAGCATAGCACATGCAACACATTTAATATTAAATCAAAGGAAAGTCTCCCTAGGATGTAGTGCAGTAAAATCTCGTCATGTTCATGATACTATCACAATGTCTACTGCTGAGTAGATAATAAATGCTAAGCAATTCTTGGGACCTAAACATAGCTATTAAAATCGAAAAGAAATTCTATTCCACAGAGCCACCTCTCAGATTCCATCTGAGCCATGTCTCAGTCATTAAAGTTCCTCAAACTTGTCTCACTCATTTCTCTGCTTGTCTTGTAACCTGATTTTCTTCTACCTTTTCTAATAAAATTTACTCCCATTCAGGCCATAGTTTGAAGAAATGGTTCCTGAGAAAGGACTTTCCACACAGTCTCTATATTTACTCTCCTTAGTCTGGACCCGCACGACACTCTGGTCTTTCAGTTTTTTCCTGCCTGATTGTAAACTCCACAGGGATCTTCATTATCTAGGGCAGCACATGTAAGGCGCTCAATAAATATTTTCAATGATCAATCATCGGACATTGAAGTGCAACCTGAATCACGGTGACACTAGCAATGAGAGTATTATAATAATACAAAGAAAATAAAATTGAAAATTTAGAATTCTACTTGTAATATCTATTTCTATAGCAACCTCAGAATGAAAAAACAAAAGCTGTGTAATAGAATATCCATCAATGATTCTATATTCTCCTTACCTTGACACATAATTTTCCTGGACATAAAGTTCACAGCATCAGGCTCACTGCTGTCGCCTTGTAACAGAGAGAGTGTGGCACACTGTTGGTGGCCACGAACATACACTTAAGACCCTCGAGAGAACACAGGGTCTTGTTCCTGGGCTGGAGTGCAGTGGTGTCACCATGGCTCAAGCGACACTTCTGCCTCAGTGTCCTGAGTAGCTGGGACAGGCGTGTGTCACCACTCCCGGCTAATTTAATGGGGTCTTGCTGTGTTGCTCAGGCTGGTCTAGAACTCCTGGGCCTCAAGTGATCCTCCCATCTCAGCCTCCCAAAGTGCTAAAGTTACACGTGTGAGCCACCACACCCGGCAGAGATTTCTAGATTTGAACTGAAAGCATATTTTCCTGGTTTGCACCTTGAATGTCTCCGATCCTGGGACAGGGCACCCCAGCGAACTCCTGAGTGGCCCACGCAGCAGGCACGGAGACCGTCCTCTAAAATTCACATCCAGTGTGGAGTCCAGCTTGCAAGGCTTCAGGAACAGGGCAGATTACAGATTGAAGAATGTAACGGCCGCGGACAGGACTAGGATCCAGTATGTACGAAGGTGCACCAGAGTCTCCTCCCGAATAACTTTTGCCTCTCCAGTTGCCCCCACTGTTACCAAACATAGTCGCGGTGAGGCTAACGTGTTTACAAAGTAGCTCTAGTTTTATTAACCTTGACCTGATTCCTTACGTAAGAGCAGCGAGAATAGTAATTGACCACAAGGCTGTTTTTAAGTTTGCTTTGTTACAACGTTCAATAAGAAACTTCAGATGAGGCTTCTAAAAACCTCTCCATGCTAGGAAGCCAAGCCAAGCATTCACCATCCAACTCTGCCTCCAATATCTACAGATTTGGGTAAATTCCAACTTTATCAAGGTCCCCAAAATGTTCTTGATGTTCCTGGACCTTTCTTCCATAAGGTGAGGGAACCCTTAAAGGCAGGTACTGGGACAGTGGGTTTTTCCCTGGCCAAGGGGCTATATTGCCTCCATAAAGTCAGCCTTATTTCTTTAAAACTGGTCATATCTGATTCTGTGACCATTTTCAAATGTGACGTTCTGTTCAAAACTGTGGTCATATAAATCATTGTTTCCAATTATGTCTTGTTACAAAGAAAACAAATTCTTTAAATTTTTTGTTGTTGTTGTAGAGACAGGTGCTCGCGCTGTCACCCAGGCTAGAAGTCCCAGGTTCAAGGGATCCTCTTACCTCAGCCACCCAAGTAGCTGGGATTGTAAGCTCCAGCCACCACGCCCAGCTGGAAAGACAGATTCGCACTGAACATATGCAAATAACTAAATTGCCATGTGCTTGGGGAAAATCCCAGGACAGTATAGAAAAGCCACCCCCCAGTTTGGGGGACCCAAGGGACCAAAGAATGCCTCCGACAAGCCAAGCGTGGTGAGTCAGATGATTTTAGTGGAGGTGTCTCACACAAGGAAGCAAACTGGATCAGCCTCTTTCCTCCCCTCCCTCCCCCTTTCAAAGGGAAGCAAGACCTTTTTGGTAAGACATTTGCCAGTGAGGGGTGTGGGGCGATGGGGAAGCACCAAACAGGGTGAGCAGAGGAGCTGCGAAGCACACAGGGGGGCTTTGCCTTTCCCCTTCCACTCTGACATGGAGACTGGAGAGGGAAACAGAGGCCCCCAAAATTCAGGAAGAGCAGAGTAAGTGGCTGGTGTTGTTGACACGAAAATTGTCTTGTTTACCTGTGGCGGAGTCACCTCAGGGTTGGCCGTCCCCGTGCGGCAAGGTTGAGCTTGTTTTGAAGCTGGAGTTTGTCTGGCAGACTGAAGCCATTTCAGAGGATCTGTGGGTGTGGAGGGAAAGAGTTTAGGGGGCCCATCCGATTTGGAGAGCGAGCGCGATCTCCTGCGTTAAGAAAAGGGCATTTGCACTTGCCGTGCCCTTCTGTCTCGCAGGCCCCCGCAGGCCCACTCCTGGGGCTTTCTCAGTTATGTGATGGGGACGGTGACAGTTACAGCGGGGCGTGGTTCCTGGAGAGGGTTGTGCTCCTGGTTTCCTGTCAAGCCTTTGGGGTAGCTCTGTCTCTGAAGTTTTCCTTATAATCATGGCCACCATCTGGAACACTTCTTTCTGCTCTCGGGGCTCACTGCCAGCCCCACCTTCTCTTTTCTCCCTCCTCTCCTCCTCAGTCTTTTCCCAGGGGCCATGCGGGATCCGAGGAGGTTTCCAAGTTTTTGGAGTTCGTGCCAAATACAGGGCTGACTGGGAGACAGGGTGCACTGCGGGCGTCAGGACCTAAATTAGTGAAGAGGTGAAAGGCTTCCGACAGTCGTAAAAGAAATGCTGGATCCTTCCCTTGGCTTTGAGGGATTTACAGCGTCTTCTGACCAGAGAGGGAGCTGGTGTACAGGTGGGGAGGGAGCTGAGAACAGCCAGCCGGAGTGAGCGGCCAGGAGGGGCTGTCGAGAGGGAGCGGAAGGGAGAGAGAGAGGGAGGGCAAAGAGAAACAGCATCTGGACAGCGAAGACAGCGGGGGAGAGGCAGGAGTAAGAAAGAAACGTGGCAGGTAGAGTGAAAACCAGGAAGTTTAATTAGCACGTTCAAAGAAAGCCTGAAATGAGAGGGCTGTAGGGCCTCGCTGGGCCAGCTCGACAGGTCAACGAGCAGAATAGCGTTACGATTAAGAGATCCGTTCTCAGGCCGAATTTCCTGGTCATTTAACTTACAGTAAATGCTTGGGATGGGGTGAGTCCCAAAGTTCCAACCGAATGTCACCCACGATGGCAACTGAGAGAAAGAAAAGAGGAAGGACTTTAGGAACGGCCGCACGTCCAGGCACCGACACCGAGAGTCTGGGTGGGGCATCCCCACAAGATGACCTCTGAGGTGCCGGCGGGACATCAGGCATCCCCGAGTTCTGAGTCGGACCCAGACTGCGACACACAGCGCTGCCCAGAGGGCGTCCCCAGTCCTTGTCCAGAATGAAGTTCAGAGAGGAGCTCCCCCACACCAGGCATTCCTGGGTCGGGGCAAATCTGGGAAGGAGTGGCGAGGAAGCCTCCTTGTCAGGCGCTGTTCCTAGAGTGGCAGACCAGCGCCAGACTGTTCCCAAAGCCCTGGCACTCACCAACCGACGAGGGCACCGAGTGAACTCCCAGGGGCCCAGTCACCAGGGCACTGGGAACTGCGGCGCTTGCATCTTCTCTCTTCGCGGCAGCAGGCTGGAACAGAAGTGGCGATGGGTTCAAAGAGTTGACTCGCTGCCTGTCCTTGCAGATGGGATTGTCCCTGGGGACGTGACTGCCTTCCGCACACACTGAGCCCGGGGCTCACACCTTGCTCTTCACTCAGGAATTCCAAGGCTGTAAAAAGTAGATTCTCAAAAGCAGTGTTAAAAGAGAAAGGTTTACATTTTCTTTCCATCTTTTCAGCTCTTTTCAGACATTGTGAAAAACAGAACCCCACAGGGCGCCTGTCAGCTCTGGAGAGCGTGAGAGCTCGATTCATTTTAGCCCATTCGGTGGGTTGAGCAGTTTTCCTGTTATTTCACTAGCAGGGGAGGCCATCCTTCCAGCCCTGTTGATGCGAGCCCTCCCGGCCCTCCATCTGCACTCTACTCTGCTTCTCTCTGCCCCTCCTCTTAGTCCCCTTCCTCAGCCCCACCTTTTCCGACCCCTCCCACCGCCAAGCCCTCCATGGGGGGACGGCTCATCGCTGATGGGCCCGGCAGGTCCCAGGCTTCTTAGGAGCCCATGAAGAAAGTGCCCTTGTGAGTCTATAAAACTGTCATGTCACCGCCTAAAATGAAAATATCTGGTCCCTGGTAACCTAGCACTAACCCTTTCAAAGTGTCCTGTCTCTTCCTCCAGGCTGGCACAGATCCACTTCTGAACCCCTCTGGACCCCTGAACTGGCTTCATGGTCCAAACCTGGGTCAGGCCACTCAGAGGGATGTTCTTTCCACTGTTGCAAACGGGAGGAAACATCACAGGGGAAAGTCCTGACCTCTGGCTCATACAGTCAAGAAACTCAATCACACAGGAAAGGACCCCCAAGTCCTACGTGAGATGTCACGGAGAGAGGACAGAAGGGAGAAGATGTGGTCCTAACACAGGAAAGGAGGAGGAGGAGTGTTGTGCATATGCACCTGGGAATAACAAGACCGAGAGAAAAACTGGAAATAATTAGGACATAAAACAAGCAGAATTCCTTTTCCTAAATTAACAAAAAGTCAGTTGTGCAGCCTGAGAACAGGTGTCCTCTCTCCACACATAGAGTTGATGCCGCTTCTCCACGCTGAATAGTTCAGTCTCTTACCTATGTCTGTAAACACACTCTAATAGGAACATTTTTCCTCTAACTTTGAAGCATCTATTATGTGTACAGCACTATCCTCTGTGTTTGTTACTTTCACATAAATGTCAAAACGACCCCACAATTTATGAAACCTGCACAATTTATGAAGCCTCCCAGTTTTGACGTGGAAAAGTCAGCCCAGTAAGTCAATACATTTTATGATGTCACTTAAAAGAACAGAAACGATGAGAAAAAAGTTTGATAAGTAGTTTCATTCTCTAAATATGGAGAACATAAAATGCATTAAATACAATGTAACAAAATGTCACTAAAGAAATATTCATGTCTTCAAATTAAATTCTGAGCACCATTAGATTATATAAGCAATTAGCATAATATATGTGTATATTGCATTAATATAAATTGAAATAAAAAGGAAAGCTTCATGTATTTACTTGGTTCAGAAAGGGAGGATGTGCAAAAAAATTAGGGGAAAATTATATAAATAACTTAGAATTTAAAAAGTATGTTTTAAATTTGCATCTGTAAATTATACTTTAATATAATCTTTATTACAACCGTCATTATATCCCAACAGTTACAAAAATCAGAAAAGAATACAAAATAGTAACTATGAGAAACATATTCTTCAAAATATAGGAATTTTAATTCCTTGGGTAAAGGAAAAAGGGATTACTAACAAAACCATTCCACTGTGTTACCCAATAAAATATTATTTACATCTATTAACCACAATATTGGCGATGATGGGATAGTTTAAGATGGATAAAAGAATAACATTACATTCATTGCACATCAGAGTTAAAACATTTAAAAAGTTAGTTTTATTAATTAAGACAAATTATTTTCACACAATGTCTACAAAATGCATTTGAAAATCCATTATATGCTTATTGGTTAAAATACAGTTACAAGAACTACACAAGTATTATTTTTCTTCTAATATGGTAATATCAGAGTTACAATTTCTCCATTTTAAAAGAGTGAGGCTAATTATTTAGTAAATGTTGATATGAAATACATGTACAACATTCCAGACAGGAATTATCTTTGTTTTTCTCTGATACCTGTGAAGATGTATTTCCTTCTATCACATCCAATGATATTCAACTCTTCTACTGTTTTCTATCACATCAACTAATACCCAAGTATTCTACTTCATTCTACTGTAAAGACATCTCAATGTATTAAGCAACTGGCCAGATTTTGCTACTTGAAGAAACGGCAAAAGAACTTACTTAGAAAATTCAGAATGTTTCTCTCCTTTTTGATACAGAAAAATAATACACTGGACATGTACCATGTGCACAGATGCATCACTGCTTTACGATCCAAACACAAAGAGCACATTCTTTAGGTTTTCTTCGTATATTTTACATTTGCCATTATCCATCCATGACAAAATTGGTATTAATGATGTCCACTTGACACAGAATGTTGTCTAGTAGTTCTGATGCAGAAACAATAGATGACATTATTTTCATGTAAACGCAACAGATTAAGGCATAACGTCAACTGATTTGAGAGTTGAATTACATCAATAATACTTTTCAAACACCTCAAATATTATCAATACAAATAAAGTATTGATTGTATTTGAGTCTCAGTATAATTATAAATGTCCAAATATCAATGTTCTTGCTTCTCTGAAACATATGTATCAATTATATAATTGTTTTGACTTTAGGTTGTTCTCTGTAATAAATACTCTGGTTTGGTGTAGTTTTATTTATTTATTTATTTTGAGGCAGTCTCGCTCTGTTGCCCAGGCTAGAGTGCCGTGGCGTCATCCTAGCTCACAGGAACCTCAAACTCCTGGGCTCAAGCAATCCTTCTGCCTCAGCCTCCTAAGTAGCTGGGGACTACAGGCATGCGCACCATGCCCGGCTAATCTTTTCTATATATATGTATTTTTTAATTGTCCAGCTAATTTCTTTCTATTTTTAGTAGAGACAGGGTTTCGCTCTTGCTCAGGCTGCTTTCGAACTCCTGAGCTCAAAGAATCCTCCCGCCTCAGCCTCCCAGAGTGCTAGGATTACAGGCGTGAGCCACCACGCCTGGCCCTGGTGTAAAGTTTTAAAGTGTCTGCTTTATTCCTTTTTTGTGAATCCCTTGATACAATTAGGTGAATTTTAATTAAATACTTCCCTTACTTATTGCATTTGTAAAGTTTCTTTCTCTATAATCTTTCTTGTAATTTCTTTTATATTTTTGATAAAATGCTTTCCTTATTTATTACATCTATAGAATTTTTCTACTGTGAGTTCTCTTATGTCGGCTAAGAGTTGAACTAAGGTAAAAGGCTTTTCCACATTCTTCACATTTATAAGGTTTTTCTCCAGTATGAATCCTCTGGTGCTGAATAAGACTTGAAGAATGAGTATAAGATTTATTACATGCTTTACATTTGTAGGGTTTTTCTCCAGTATGAATTCTCTGGTGCTCAGTAAGATTTGAACCATAGTTGAAAGCTTTGCCACATTCTATACATTTGTAGGGTTTCTCTCCAGTATGAATCCTGTGATGATGAATAAGAGTTGAATAACGAGTAAAAGATTTACTGCATGCTTTACATATGTAGGGTTTTTCTCCAGTATGAATTCTTTGGTGCTCAGTAAGATCTGAACTACGGTTAAAGGCTTTGCCACATTCTACACATTTGTAGGGTTTCTCTCCGGTATGAATTCTCTGATGTTGAGTAAGATTTGAACTGTGATTAAAGGCTTTGCCACATTCATTGCATTTGTAAGGTTTCTCTCCAGTGTGAATTCTCTGATGCTGAATAAGACTGGAAGAATGAGTGTAAGATTTACTGCATACTTTACATTTGTAGGGTTTCTCTCCAGTATGAATTCTCTGATGTTCAGTAAGATGTGAACTATGATTAAAGGCTTTGCCACATTCACTACATTTGTAGGGTTTCTCTTCAATATGGATTATCTCATATTTTTTTAGATTTGATGAATGACTAAAGATTTTCTCACATTTGTTATATCTGTATAAATTTACTCCAAAATAGATTCCTTGAGGTTGAGTGTTATTTGATGCCTGGGTAAAAGCTTCTAAACATTTATCACATTCATAAGACTTCTCTTGAACTTGAATACACTGATGGAAAATAAGCTCTGAGTGTTGATGAAAGACTTTGTCACATTTCTTACATTTGCAATGGTTCTCTGGAAAATGAATTTTCTGATATTGTTTATGGCTAGAGCCTTGATTAGAGGTTTTCTCAGAATTAGGACATTGATAATTTTTGTCTTCAAGATAAATATCCTGGTAATAGCTTGGGGTAGAGCCCTGGCTAAAGGATATTGAAGACTTGTTATAGGTGTGATTTCTTTCCCAATTATCTATTCCTGGATATTGCTGAAGCAATGATGAATGGGTAAAGACCTTCCCATATTGATCAAAGTTGTAGATTTTGGCATGGTTTTTGTGGACGTATAATAAACTTTTAAAAAATGGCCCATCAAATTGATCACACATAGAAATCTTTCCTTCATTTTTAAATCTCAGATCTTCAGAAATATTTGACTTATCATTTAACCCAATTTCACATTTTAATTGATCCAAATCATTATTTTGAATATGGCTTAGGTCACTATTTAAATTTTCCAATTTTTTTTTCTGATAAAATTTATGTTCCAAATGTTGATGCTGATATTTACTTACAGAGACATGTGGTTCAGCAAAAGTAACTGAAATAAACGGAGATTTATTCCAAAATGTTTTATATATTTGTTCTTTTCTGTCAGTGGTGTTTTCATTGTAGGTAGTTGTCCTACATTTTGTTTGTCCATCATAACAACATACATTCTGTCCTTCAAACTGAGCCTCATTTTCCAAGTCTTTCTTTAAGTGTATTTTTTCAAGGCCGCAACTCTCAAATAGTCCCAATATTACTTTCTGGAATGGAGCTTCTATGCATTGCTTTTTCTGCAGACCTTGGGTGTAATGAGAAAATATATCTGAAAGATATCAAAAATTTTTTAAATTCCAGTTACCATATTTGGATGAATGTACTTTACAACAATAACATGCCAAATAATACCAAGCTGAGAATATCATCATGATGGCTGAATCAAAAATCTGAGGCCCTTGTTTCTCCACTGATGTACTAACTTAACAAAAATATGCTAAAGAAAAACCAATTGAGTTTTCAGTACCCCCTGTAAGTGAAAGGCCAAGAAGAGACAATTTAAGTAAAAAAAGAAAAAAAAAAGTTTATACATTTGTGAACCACAGCAGAGAGGAATCAGGAAAAAAAAAAAACTTCCGATTACTTGTTTCTTCCTCAGGAAACAAAGAGTGGGACATGTGTCCAAAGGTCTGAGTTTTTCTGGGGCTATCTAAAAACTGGTTATTTCTCCCTTTAATATGAAGTGCTAAAGTGCATAGAGATATACTTCAAATTACAGATTCAGTCCACTGAGAACAAAGACGAATGCTTGTTACAGCAACAGAGAGACTGCACTACCAACGACACTTGCCAAGGTAAACAAGAGATTAAATGCTTTCAAGAAAAAGCATAGAGAAACTCCTTTTTAACAGTAAAATAAATAAACAGTAGTTCAGAGAAGGCACACATTACTATCAGGTTGAAGGAACCCCTACTGTGGCTCAGTGGTGTCAGTTTTTCCCATATAAAGCCATCCTGCAAAGGATAGGATAGGTAGTTGTTTTTTAAATGATCAAAATCTCAATAAAAATCACAATACATCAAGAAACAAAGAAACATGGTCCAATCAAAAGTCAAAAACAAATACTCAAGTGACCCGAAAGAAGTGAAGATCC